TAGCTGCCTGGCATCAATTTTACTGCATAAATGGTTTCAAACCCTAAACTTTCAGCGGCTGTGTCAGTCCATATATGGGTATGTAACGATTTATCAGTTTGATTAAGCTGAAGCAACTTTACAGTCTTTTATCAGACGTTGCTGCATGTTTTATGTCCTTATGCGTTCTGTGCATGAGACAGAGTAGGTCCTTAGTGGGTCTGTTGCCTTTCAGCTGCTGGATGCTGCTGGAGCAGAAGCATGCAGGTTGTTTTCCTCAGCTGAAAATCAAAGGCTATCATGGCAGCATCTCCATCAGTTCTCTCTCTGGATTCTGTGCCTCTTGCGGGCTAATCGAGCCTCCCGCATCTCCTCCAGCGTTTTCCGGGGGTCCATGATGAATGCCAGGGCCACGGTGGCGGTGCCGTCCCCGTTCTGCCGTGAGAAACATAGAAAGGAGGCCCAGAGGAAGGCGCAGCAGCCCATGAAGGCTGTCCGCATGTGCAGCGGCATCAGGGCGAAGTTCAGAAACTGGAGGGAAACAGAGAAGAAAAATTCTACATACATACATACATATATAAGGAAAGAAAAGCTGTCTATAAAGGTACAGGTTTATTATCTGAGAGTTATATTTCTATAGTTTTAATGTTAATTGGTTGATATAAACAGACAGATATAGTATTACTAGTAAAGTAAGTAGTAGTATTTGTAGTATTTTAATAAAAGTATTGATACTCACAGTCAAATCTTACTCAACTACAAGTAAAAGTTACCCTGTGAAACATCTACTCATGTTAAAGTATTGAAGTATTTTTGGAAAACACTTAAGTATTCAGAAGTACAAATTCAATTTGCTAATATCAGTATATTTCTGTCAGAATTTTAGAGTAATTTCGAAGAGCCTGTAACTTTCAGAAACCTCCTGATGTATTGATGCTGCCTTGTTTTTTTTATGATGCCACCCGCCAGGAGGAGCAGCCGTTGTCACGGCAACAGCTTATGGGCATCATCATAAACAAACAAGCAAACAAACTAGTGCCTTATGTCTTATTTAATATTTTTAACAAATTATTTAAATGGAATAAATTAACAACAAAAAAATAATTAATAATTACCTGCATGAAAGGCCAGTACATGAGTCCAGTCTGAAAACACATAAATTGTGAATATTCCTTTAAATTAAGAAATCTTGCAAAAACTCAAAGA